TGCGAACTGATCCTGACATGGTGAAAGCAGTGCATGATTGGCCAACACCGGATAATGTGGGAGAGTTAAGAAGTTTCTTGGGAATCTGTACCTATTACCGGAAGTTTGTGAAGGACTTTGCAACTGTAGCTGCTCCACTATGACAAAATGATTTGACAAAAAAGGTCAGATGTTCGAATGGACAGTTTTTGCCAGCATGCTTTCAAGACATTGAAAGAAAAATTGGCCTCAGCTCCACATTTAAAGCTTCAAAATCCCTCACTGCCGTACATACTGGATTGTAATGCTAGTAGTGTCAGAATTGGGGGAGTGTTGTCTCAGAAAGTGGACGAAAACGAACATGTGGTGGCCTACTTCAGTAGGGTCCTAAGTAGACCAGAGAGGAACTAATGCGTGACACAAAAAGAACTCCTTGCTATAGTAAAGAGTCTGACATATTGCCATCCTTACCTCTATGGCGCCAGGTTCCCACCAGGATAGACCGTGCTGCATTATGCTGGTTAAGATCATTAAAGAACCCAAAGGTACAACTGGCTCATTGGATCTGAAAGATAGACCAGTATAATTATAGTATATACAAAGAAGGAAAATATCATGGAAATGCCGACAGACTGAGACGAAGACCCTCCAAACATGACTGCGGACATTGCTACAAAAGATAGGTTAAACTAACCAGGTGTCATCAAGCTGAAGTCAAAGTGACTGAAGGAGTTGATGATGGTGAAGTGAAACCAGGTATAGATATTAAAGCAGAACAGGAGAAAGACCTAAATTTGAAGCTAATAATTCTTTGCTTCAGAGAAGGTGTCTAACTTAAGCTCTGTGACAAAGAACTATTGAGCACAATGGGACCAGTTAAAGTTTGAAGATAGTATTCTTGTCCAGAGATGGGAAACTGCAAATGGGAAAGTGACGACACGACAAACAGTTATACCGAGAAAGTTACGGGAAATTCTGCTGCGTCAATCCCATGATACTTGAACAGGAGGACATCTCGGAGTTAAGAAGACATTGAGTTACTTATGGCAGAGATTTTACTGGATATGTATGAGGTAAGATGTGGAAGAATGGTGCAGATCCTGCAGTACATGTTGTGCCAAAGGGGACCCAAGCATAAGGGACGTGCTCCAATGAAGTTGTATCAAGTTGGCACACCAATGGAAAGAGTAGCCGTCGACATTGCTGGTCCTCTGCCCCAAACTCATGCTGGAAACAAGTACATTTGTGTGGTGATGAATTATTTCACCAACTGGTCTGAGGCACATGCAATACCAAATCAGGAAGCTACAACTGTAGCTTCGGCTATTAGTGATTTCTTCTTCAGATTTGGTATG